TTATGTAATAAAATGGGCCGGATGGCCCTGACTCATGCAGTGAGAATTCTATGTATGACCATGTCACTGTCCATCTGTCTTCATTGTGTAAACGCAAGTACCATATGGCATACTATACTCTTGAGCAGGAATTATGTGATGCAGCGCAGAGATGACAAGCAAGGTAACAGAAACCAGACAGTTCATACCCAACTGCAGTTTATCAATATCCAGCATTAAGCCAAGGTTGCCTGTGCTGCCGAATTAGCTGTAGATGCCATATGCTGAGGGAAGCAACAGCTGGTCTTGCGTAGCCACGCACTATTAGATGCAACTCCTGGAGAACTGATCAGCAGAACATGTACCACTACATGTATGTTGAATTGAATTGATGAGCTACAGAGAATGCAAAGCTACGTGTGTTGACTCTCTCAAGAGAGAACTCTGCCCAAGATTCGCTTCATTGAAAACGCGTCCGTGAAAGGGAACTGCCTGCATATACCTTAGCACCTGCAATAAAATGAAAACAATAAAAACAACTTCTGTAAACTGGCTCGAATGTGCTACCATTAATAAACAATGCATAAACCATCAGTCAATCCATTAGGATCTCCGAAACAAACTGAATTAACATTAAATTCCTCAACAGAACAACTAAGTTAAAAGTAATGATGTGATGTGGTGAGGGAAGCCTAAGCCTTTTGTCCCCTCACAACAAACATGGGACTATAATGTCCACACAAATCAAAACTTGGGAGCCAACAAAAACCAGAGATAAAATTAATCTAGCTGCATGTACCTTTAAACCAAAATAGTGGATTACACAATAAAGAACAAAAAGTTGGCATCAAAGGCAAAAAATGAGAATGGTAAATTCAAACCAAATAATATTTGCATCACTTTCCCTAGACACAAATACAAATGGAAATGAATCACACGTGTACATATCCTGCAAACAAATCACATATGCAGTACAAACAAGAGCACATGTGTCTACCACAACGAGGACCAAAGCCTCAAACTGAGGAACATAGCCTCAATAATATTACTTAACAATGATGCTGAGGAAGCCTTAAGCTAAAATCCAAGGACAAAGTTTCAAAATAACCTATGAGGACAAAGCCTCAAAATAAATTATGAAGGCAAAGCCCCAAAATAAAATAGGAGGATGAAGCTTCAATGTAACATATGAGGACACAGCTTCATTAAAAATCTGAAGATGAAGCTTCAAAATAGAATAATTTATGAGGAGGACCTTATTATTGTTCTAAACCTGCAACGAAATAAATAGTATTGCAGTGCCCCAAACATTGATCACCCCTGAGGGAAGGAATATCACAGAGGCTCTAATAGTTAGCACCATCAAAAGGGGGTGGCTGATGCTCACATAACAAGACAGTAACAACATGGTTGCTTTAACAGTTAGCACCGTTCTAAACAGGGTGGCTAAAACAGTTAACACCCGTGAAAAAGCTAAGAACATGGTGACTTGAACAGTTAGCACCGTTCTAAACAGGGTGGCTAAAACAGTTAACACCCGTGAAAAAGCTAAGAACATGGTGACTTGAACAGTTAGCACCATAGAAAATAGGGTGGCTAAAACAGTTAACACCCATGAACGAATGACCTGGTGACTTGAACAGTTAGCACCACACAAAACAGGGTGGCTGAAACAGTTAACACCCATGAACGAATGACATGGTGACTTGAACAGTTACCACCACACAAAACAGGGTGGCTAAAACAGTTAACACCCATGAACGAATGACATGGTGACTTGAACAGTTAGCACCATAGAAAATAGGGTGGCTAAAACAGTTAACACCCATAACAGAACTAAAAATAATGATGGCTCGAACAGTAGCACCATAGACAATAGGGTGGCTCAAACCGTTAACACCTGTGAAAAAGCTAACAACATGGTGGCTTGAACAGTTAGCACCGTAAAAAATTTGGTGGCTCAAACCGTTAACACCAGTAGTTATGAAAATGGTTATCCTAGCTCAGTCTTCGAATTCCCAGAATTGCATTAAAAAAACTAATGTAATCCCAGAATATGCAAGGGAATTTAAAAATGAATACCTTTTTATAAGAGGTATTAATAAGGAAATAAACAGTCTTCTTAATAAAATAAATTATGAATATTATGATCTTGATTAAATTATATATTGTGGTAATATTTTTCTTTCTAATAAATTTGAAAGGATCTTGAATATGATAAGAAAGTTTTTGAAAGCTCAAGAACTTAACTATCTCAATGATATTAGTTCTTTTGAGTTTAAAGAGCATGATGTTATAAATATAATAATTATATTTGATTTAATGGAAACTTATTTAGAGTCTGATGATTATTATGGTGAATTTCCGGATGAATATGAGCTTTTTAGAGAGTTTTATGAACAAATAAATTATAAGTTTGATGATTTATATTATAGTGATAGTGATAGTGATAGTGATTGTGATTTGATAATTTTATAATCTTCTAACATATTTTGTTATAAGATTACTACTTTACTAAATATATCTATCGATTTATAACAATCTATTTTATTAAATAAATTGTTAGCTATATCTATGAATTTTTTATCAGAAGAATTTTTAACTGAATCTTCGTAGTAATATGCTTCGTAAATAAATGAAGATATAGCTGGGAATTCTTCATGAAAAGAACAATCTATATCTTCAATTTTAGCTTTTTTCAAATTATTTACACTTTTTTCTATTTTAATAAGAGTATCAGTATCTCTATAAGAAGACGGGGTGTAATAATAAGAAGAAATTTTAGGTAAATTAATATACAAAGGTTTGATATTTTTTTCAATAGTTTTTAGTTCATTAAAGACTTTTTTTGAAGGATAAACAATATTCCATTTTTTAAACACCATTTATTATAGCGGGGCTCCCGCGCGCGCGAAGCGCGCGTGGGACAGAGCCCCATACTCATGGAATATGGTCAACCTCTTTTCGCTTGGTTGTCACGTGACTGACCGAGCGTACGTACGTACGTACGTACGTACGTACGTACGCGTCTACAGATTGTACGGGTAGGGTAGGGGAGACTATCAAAAGGAAGGGAGGGGTGTCTCAGGCGTGTGTTGGCAAGTCCTCATCTTTTTTATATGACATTCACAATATAGTCAATTGACAGCTGTCAAAACAGGATAGGCACTGACCAGTATCCCATGACCATAACGCGGGCTCATTTGTCAACTCATCAGGGTGACGTAATTTATTTGGAAGCTGTCCGCTGACCAGTTAATCGTTTTACTAGATCGCAAACAATATTCAATCTCATACTTTTTAACATGGATATTATTATTAATATTTAGCTAGTTTGGGATCGGAGCACAGGAAATGTGATCAATTGACAGCTGTCAAAACGAGGTATCCGCTGACCAGTATCACTTGAGCGAATCGCGGGCTCAGGTGTCGACCCATCGAGGTCGAGTATTTTTTTGAAGTTATCCGCTGACAAGGTACTTGTTTTCAAATGATTGCAGGCTCAAGTTTAATTTTTTTTTTAAATTCATATGAAATATGTTGTGTTTATGTGCCGCACAATTAAAATTTTGATTTCAAACTGACCTCGGACGCGAAAATTCAGCCAGCTGCTACAGGCAGGGAAGACAGTTGCTTTTGACTTTTCTCGCCATGTTCACGCGTTGGTCACGCTCTACGTCCAATTTTTATGCTCTGATTGGTCAAAATTTGACAGGTGAGTTCATGCGCAAAATTTATGCAGCATCTTGAATCTTGTTTACTTTGACAGCTGAAGCTGACAGAGTTTTGTGTCAACTTGTGATGTTTTTAACTTTCTTTTTCCACTGGATGTACAAAATGAAATTCAGATTCTATCAGGAGTCTTCTGTTATTCATGGCTAGTTTGTTTATTGGGTTTTTGGTTGAGTCAAAGTCGGAAATCCGATTTCGGATGGCATCGTTTTCGTTTTCACCTTGCTTAATGCGTAAGAGGGTTGCAAAGTCTGAAGCGATACTGGCCTTCCTTGATACCTTTCAGGAGCTGCATCTCGAGTGGTAAGCCTAAGTAATTATTGTATTTGATGTTTGTTTTTTATTCCTAATTTAATGAAGTCGAGCGTAGTTTATGCGGCTATTTTGTTTACGCACGTTTGTAAGATTTGAGACAATGATCTGACCGCGTATCAGGTTTGTTATAAGCTTACAGATCTTTAAAAAGCCTTTAGACATTTTCTCACCGCAAATAGAAAGAAAACGTTTCAAGGAATATTTAGTTATAATTCTGACTGTAAAAGAAAGGTTTGAGCGATTTCCTTGCCTCGAGTTCGTCTTTGAAAAAAGCAAACACCGGGAAGCCGGCTTAAAACACAAAATTCAGCTTTAAGCTCGAAGACTCAGGATTTTTAGAGACACTTTAATACTTGTCTTCCTGAATGAAAATTGTCGTCTCTGTATATGTTTCTCCGAATTATATTTCTTTTATTAATTGTTAGTACTGTCTCTTGTAATTTTAATCGCTGTGTCGATTGTTTTCAGTCGTTCAGTGAACAACGCTTCCCGGAGTACTCAAAATGCCGCGCGTTAAACCGTTTTAAAATAAAAAATAAACATAATAAATTCTTTATTATGTTGGAGCGTAACTCTGTTAATGTTCATTCAAACACTCGCCACTGCTAGCACTGCAAAAGTCAGAACCGGCTGGCCGTATAGATGATTTTGAAAATTTTTTTTAACGGTTTAGCTAAAGCCCACGCGTGCTGCGATCGTCCTGAATATTGAATGATAGCAATTTGTATCGCAATATTGTGAAATACTGCATTCTGTTGTGCGAGGTCTGTATGATAAAAACAGTGCCTCATAGTACTGTTTCACCTCAGATGTGATGTATAAATGATATAAAAGGTTGGTTTACAGTCGCACCCAGATTTGTTGGCAAGATTTTGTAAAGTAAACTTGTCGAACGCAAAAAATTCGGCCGGAATTTTTTTCCAGGCCTAATTAATCTAAGGCGATCATGAGCCATTATGGCTCTTAATAAATGTGATCCAAGATGATTGCCAGTTTTTGGGTGTACTTATGAGGCTATCAACTCGATGTGAGATTTGGTTCACTCTTGGGCTACTTGCAAATTATTTTTTGTAAAATCACTTAGCCTTTCCATGAAAAGTCACACGAATGTGCTCTAAAGTTAACTGAATTGTGGAATACAAGTTTACTGTTTGATTTAAATTATAAATTTATTAATGGGAGCCTCGCTTTTAGCCCTGGCTAAATCTATATATTATTTTTTTTGTTTTTAAATAACTTAAAAAATAAAACAGGGAAATTCCCATTTGATGAGTTGAGTGTATTTAGGGAATTTTCCCAACAAAAATAATCTAATCAAAATAATAAAATGGAACCAAGATCAAGAGAAACTACTCCTACAAAAGAAGACTTTATAGTTGATGATGGATATAGACATGATGAGGATCCAGATTATGTTCCAGATAATGATAAATATGTTGTTTCGAGTAAAGATTTCAAAAAGTTAACCAAAAATGCTAAAAAACTCGGTGCTGAATCGCTTGATTATTCAACACGCAAAACAAATATGTAGCAACACTTTCAAGTGGAAAGAAGATTCATTTCGGGTCATCACAACATCCAGACTATCTTATTCATCAAGACAAAGATCGAAGAGAGAGGTATCTTGCTCGAGCTAAAAAGATTAAAAATAAACAGGGGGAGTTAACTTATACTAATCCTGAATCAAGTAATTTTTGGTCAGTCCATCTACTCTGGCCAGAAAAATAAATTATGGCTTAAGGATTAAATTCTTATAATAAAAATGATGTTATCAAGTTACGAAAATCTTACTCAAGACAATATTATCTTTAATGAAGCCAAAGAGTACAAAGTGAAAGATAGCAAAATCAAATACAAACGTATCCCAATTGAAGTCAAATATCCAAATGGAAAGAAAGGAGCTTTGGTAATTGAAACTCCAGTTCTTTTCTCTTTTGGAGTAAATGAAAAGAAAAACCAAGAAACAAATAAGTTAGTAGGTTATAGTATTCCAGTATGTCTTTGGGCTAAAGGTAGTGAGCCGAATACTAAAGAAAAAGCATTTTTTGAAGCTATTAACAATATAACAAATATCTCTCAGCAATATTTAGAGAATGAATACGGTGCAGATCTAGCATCAACTCTATCTTTACCATTTTATTACAAACAAGAAGAATATACAGATAAGAAAGGAAAGAAGAAAACAAGAATAGACCCCTCATCTGCACCAGTTCTTTACGCAAAACTGATTTACTCAGAAAAATCTAAGAAAATTCTTTCACTATTCAAAACAAAAGGAAGAAAAGATTTGAATCCTTTTAAATATATTGATCAGTACTGCAACGTTAAAATGGCTTTGATTATTGAAGGAATATTTATTAGTAAGACTGTAACATCTTTGCAAATAAAAGTACATGAGTGCTTTGTCAAACCATTAAAACCTAGCGAGTCTTTACTAACAATTGAAGAGGAAGAGGAAGATGAAGAGGAAGAGGTTACTGAGCAAGTATTTGAAGACTTAGTTATCTCTGATAAAGAAGAAACTGAGTAATTATAGGATTTATTTTTAATACATTATTTGTATTAAAAATCAACCAAATCCTTAGAACTCACCCATGAGTTAAATTTATCAGGATATCCATGCACACACAGTCACACAGAATTATTCTTATCAAAGTCTGAAATAGCTCACAGACATAAAATAACTGATTAAAATGAAATCTGGGGGATGGCTGTATGGCCCTTGCACACACAGTCACACAGAATTATTCTTCTCAAAGTCTGAAATAGGTCACAGACATAAAATAACTGATTAAAATGAAATCTGGGGGATGGCTGTATGGCCCTTGCACACACAGTCGCACAGAATTATACTTATCAAAAGTTTGAAATAGCTCACTGATGTAAGTGATTAAAATGAAATCTGTGGGATGGTTGTATGGCCCCTTGCGAACACAGTCACACAGAATTATACTTATGAAAAGTCTGAAATAGCTGACCGATGTAAGTGATTAAAATGAAATCTGTGGGATGGCTGTATGGCCCTTGCACACACAGATGCACAATAATATTATTCTTATCAAAAGCCTAAAATATGTAGCTCCCTGATGTACAGTAACTGATTAAAATGAAATCTGTGAGATGGCTGTATGGCCCCTGCGCACACAGTCACCCTAAATTATACTAATAACAATACTGAAATAATTCGCTGATGTAACTAGTAAAAATGAAAATCTGCGAGACGGCTATATGGCCCCTGCTAACACAATCATCTTGAAAGTGTATAGTTATTGCCCAAGCCGAAATCACCTAGGAAACTATACTAACAGCTGAATTAAGTGAATAATTTTATGTAATAAAATGGGCCGGATGGCCCTGACTCATGCAGTGAGAATTCTATGTATGACCATGTCACTGTCCATCTGTCTTCATTGTGTAAACGCAAGTACCATATGGCATACTATACTCTTGAGCAGGAATTATGTGATGCAGCGCAGAGATGACAAGCAAGGTAACAGAAACCAGACAGTTCATACCCAACTGCAGTTTATCAATATCCAGCATTAAGCCAAGGTTGCCTGTGCTGCCGAATTAGCTGTAGATGCCATATGCTGAGGGAAGCAACAGCTGGTCTTGCGTAGCCACGCACTATTAGATGCAACTCCTGGAGAACTGATCAGCAGAACATGTACCACTACATGTATGTTGAATTGAATTGATGAGCTACAGAGAATGCAAAGCTACGTGTGTTGACTCTCTCAAGAGAGAACTCTGCCCAAGATTCGCTTCATTGAAAACGCCTCCGTGAAAGGGAACTGCCTGCATATACCTTAGCACCTGCAATAAAATGAAAACAATAAAAACAACTTCCGTAAACAGGCTACAATGTGCTACCATTAACAAACAATGCATAAACCATCAGTCAATCCATTAGGATCTCCAAAACAAACTGAATTAACAGTAAATTCCTCAAAAGAACCACAAAGTTAAAGTAATGATGTGATGTGGTGAGGGAAGCGTAAGCCTTTTGTCCCCTAACAACCAACATGGGACTATAATGTCCACACAAATCAAAACTTGG